ATTATTCACGATATAGATATACCAATGTACTGCATGAAAAGTTTAAGTTTGTGTTGATGTCCTAAATATATTCATTGATGAGTTAGAATGGCAGTTAGATAAAAGAGATTAAAGTGATGAGATGTGTCCTGGTTCATTTGCAAAGTCATTTGACAATAGAGGCATTTGCGCATAATATACTATGTCTGGTACTCCTCCGCAGAACTAGTGTGGTTGCAAGGCAGAATCATACTATAAAAACAGATGCTTATAAAAGAGATGGTTAGGAGCATGTTAAGTAATTTCTCTTTATCCCTATAGATGTGGGTATATGCATTAAAAACTGCAAAGTATATGCTGAACGGGGTTCCTAGTAAAGAAATTCCTAAGATCATTTCTGAACCGTGGACGGAAAGGGAACCTAGTTTGAAGCATATGTGTGTATGAGGTTGCTCAGTAGAAATAAGGCTATATAACCACATGAAAAGAAATTTATTCCTAGGATTGTCAATGGATTTTTTATTGGTTATCCAGTAAGGATCAAAGGGATAGAAATTTCATTGTTCTAACAGTAGTACGAGAATAGTTGAATCAGATATTATTAGGTTTATTGAGAATGGAAAAACTAGTGGGAGTTGTGAACTGTGAAAGGATGGACATTAATGACATTCGGGTTGAAGTTCCATCACCTAAGGTAGTTGTTTATACACAATCGAACAACATGAGGATGCACTGATCCCACTAGCTAAAATATATTGTCGATGAATCTGTCACAATTTAAGGAGAGAATAGTGAACCACAAGTTACTTTAAAGCGACCTGAAAGGAAAAGAAGATATGTCATACCAAATGACTATGTGGTTGCTATTGAAAGTGAAAATGTGGCTTAACCATTGATAAAGACCCAATCTCATTCAAAAGGCCATGAAAAGTGAGAATTCTGAAAAAGGTTTGATGCCACAAAGACGAGATAAAATCTATAGGTCATAAAAAATTTTGGTACTTAATAGAGTTGCATGATGGTTTCAATACCATTGGTTGTAAATGGGTCTATAAGGCTAAACGCTACTCAAAAAGTAACAGTGGAAATTACAAGGCTCGTCTTGTTGCTAAAGGTTTTACCCAGAAAAGACTGCATTAAATTTAAAGACACCTGTCCTCCAGTTTCAAAGAAGGATTCTCTTGTAATTTTTTTTAGTTCTGGTGGCTCATTAACGAGGAGGTATATATGGACCAACACGAAGGTTTCATGACCGCATGAAAAGAAAAAATGGTGTGTAAGCTGAGAAAGTCAATATATAGACTAAACAACCTTCCAGAAAATGATATTTGAAGTTTAATGATACCATCACATCGTTGATCAATGTATCTACATTAACGTCAGTAGGAGCAGTTTTTTATGTTAGTCTTATATGTTGATGTAATTATGCTTGCTGCAAATAACATAGGCATGTTACATGATGTAAAATAGTATTTCTCTAAGAACTTTGAAATGAAAGATATGGGTGAGGAATCTTATGTGGTAGGAATAGATATCTTTCTATATAGATCACAAGGATTGTTGAGTTTGTCTTAGAAATAATATATCAGTAAGACGTCAGAGAGATATATAATAAAAAATGCTCCGTAGGAATACCTCCATTTTTTTTGTTCAACTGAATACCTCCAATTCAGAAAGGGGAATTTTAGTAAAACTTCTTAAGAATGAATTGGAGCGTAGAGAAATAGAAAAATTTCCTTAGGCATTAGTGGCTGAGAGTTTGAACTATGTCGGACATGCATTCCGCTTGATATCAGTTTTGATATTTGAAAGTTAGGCCTATATGAAAGTTAGCCCGAAATGAACAACTTGAACGCTGCAAAGAAAGGTCATCTGGTAGTTGGAAGGCAACAACAAGAACATGCCTACATAAAAGAAATCCAATCAGTTAAAGGTCATTGGTTATTCAGATTCATATTATGTCGGATGCGTTGATGGAAAAAAATCAACTTTTGATTATTGTCATGTTAATTGAGGGAACAATATAAATAAAAGTGGAAAGCAATCTATTATTTCTACTTCCACTATTAAGGCTGAATTGTGGAATGCCTTGAGGCCACAGTTCATGAATAGTGGCTGCGAAAACTTATCTCATTATTTTGGATTGTTGACATTAATTATAGTCAAACCGCTGAGGTTATGGTAACTAATTTGCAGCTGTCTTCTTTTGAAATAAGAATGGCGCTAAGAACATTAAGTTAAAGTATGTGTCTATTAAAGAAGAAGTTCAGAAACATATAGTGTCATTTGAGCACATACGAAATGAGATAATGATAGCAGATCCGCAAACTAAAGCTTTACCACCCAAGACGTTCAATGGCCATTTAGAACGTATGGATATTACTGATAAAACCTTGCGATTATAGTTATGGAATGATCATTAAGTTCTTACACCGAGGAATTCACTTAACGTTACGTTTCTGATTTAGTAAATATGTTATCTTAAAGGATGTGTATATACTTAAGGTTCAAAGATAACATATGGTAAAGTTTTAAAAATAATGTTCCTTCTCATGTAAGGATAATATAAAGTTAGAATTGATTATGTGATACATGGAAGGGACTATGTAGTTTAATGACATACAACCGGTATGATTCGATCAATTCTAATTTTAATAAAGTTTAAATGAACTTGATGTAAAAATGCACATTAAAAGTTATTAAACCTTTAAGTTGACACAAAGATCATGTCGACGAATATAGGAATATTTTACATTATATATTGTCTGTGTGTTTATTTTTTTAATGTAAATTTCAAGTTCATATTAATGTTTTTAAAATTCTTATATAATAGGTGATACCATGATGGATCGGTTTCTATTAATGAATTAGAATCTGGGTGTATTGATAACCCTTTTCCTAACCTTATTATTTGTATAAATCTCTTTCTCTAGTCTTTATTTATATATGTATATATAGTATTTGTATTTAGTTAATATTAACTACATAAAGATGATACTATACACATGTAAATGGTGGTTACATAGAAAAGTGATTACATGGTAATTGTCTTGAACCATCACAACTGAAGAGTTGTGTTGACTGAGCTTTATAAGATGCCGAGATTGATCGAAAAATAGATGTTGGAACTTGGACATGTTGATGTGAAGTTTCTTAGACAAAGATAGCAAGAGGCAGATACATTTATGGACTTATGTGTATGAGTTCGTATTGCAACTGAAAAGAGGCTGAGACAAGTTACACGAGATGTGTGGTTTGAGTTGTGTGAGGAAGAGACGTCTTACATGCGAGATGCTTGATGTATAATGAAGAACATATGTGTGATAAAAGTTGTCAGTGACATGAAGTGACATAGACGATGCGAAGTGTTTGTTTGTTAACAAAGTGCTTACAAGGCATAAAGAGTCTTATTAATAGAAGACAGAGTTTGTGGGCTTCAACCATAAGACGAAGAAAAATTTGGAATTTGTGTTTAATGTAAGCCTATCTAATAAGAAGATATTAATGGTCTTGAGCAACTTAGAGTTTTGATCCTCAAAAGTATAAATAGAAGCAGACGGTGACAGGAAGCGGTTCCGCGTCTAGAGTTCTATGAAAATACACATGAATGTGTGTGGCATCCCACCAGATAGTTGAGTGATCGTTGGTGGTTTTGTTAAAAAAAAAACTAGATGTAGTTGTTTTTATCATTATAAATCTAGCTTAGAATGGTTAGATACAGGTGTGTTAAACACCATATAACAATGGTTTGTTGTGATCTTTTTTAGTAAATGAATTTTGAATGTGGTCTTAGGGATGTAGAAAACGAACCTTATTAACAAATCTATATATCTCTTTATTTTATGCTCATACATATTCACACATGATCACTAAACTAGCCACGAATATGTTCTTAAAATATCCATTACCATCGCAACCATTAACATAAATATATATATGTTTCCCTTTGTAATGGATTAACGTAACAAAGAAAATATCATAGTGAGAAAGACATGTTTGATTCCTCTCCGTCAAAGGAATTTTGAAAGTCAAAGGTTAATGATTAGAGAAGCTCAATTGGTGGAATTACATCCATACTAAGCGTAACGAAACATGGATCAAGGTTAGGATTTCTTTCTTCTTCTATTAGAAAACTATTAGGATAGAATTAAGATATATCTAGATTTGGTGTTGGGTAGATTTCATAGTTGAAATTATAAAAGTTAGTGTATCACTGAGAGAACGAAACGGAAGAAGAGCTGAATACAGCTTGAAGAGTCAGGACGGCTGTGGAGATTTCAGAAAAGGAGTCTGAGACCGGATTGAAGCTATGACGGTGAAGTTGCAGAGGTAGATCAGAGATTGAATCATGGTAGAGACTTGGGCTCTAGTTTAATTTTAGGAGACACATCTACTCTATCAACTCTAAGAGAACTCAAGCATCTGTAGCACCACCGAGTGCACCACCAGACATTTTTTAGTTATTATTCTTCCACATGAATATATCAGTTGCTGCAAATAGGATCATTAACAAAAATCCAGATTCAGATCACAAATCTGCGACACGTCTCAATTTTAAGAAACCTTAAAGGTTTTACAATTCATATGAAAACAAGACCAGATAAGCACTTTTTCCACCTCCGAGAACCTTGTGCATAGGCTTTTCCCTTCGAACAAACTGATAGACTTCTATCATTTTGAGGCTGACTTGGCTAAGTGAAGAATGGTGGATAAGACTCTAACTGAGTGAGAAGCTTTGCAGTTACAGCTCACGAGAAGGAAGAAGACGACCTATAAATAGAGAGCTTGATCAAAGAAGAGACTTATGCTTTGAATGTTGTAAGTGAGTGACGCCATGAGTCCTTGCACCTGATCGTCATGAGAGCAGTGATGAAGATTATACTCGCCATAAGAGTGTAATCGGATTCAAACCTCAAAGCTATTTGTTTATCATCTTTGTAATCACGTTTCTAATCAATAAAGAAGTTAGGGATTTGTAAACTCTATCATTGGTGCGGTGAAACGGTTTCCAATCCAACGCGATGATGATGAAGCTCGGTGAATTGGCGGTGAAAATTGAGAGACCCGATGGACATGTTGCTGAATTCGTCGGAAGTATGATTGCGTTTGACGGAGGTTACAAATCTTTCGGGAACCGGTGTAGGAATGCTTTATCGTCAGGTTCTGTGTACTCCGATTATTCAACTGTTGTTATAGGTGACCCCGTGATGAGAAGAATCGTTGGGTCTAACTCAAGCCTCGTCGATGGTGTTACGGAGTTTCACAGAGGTTATGGCGGTTGCAGATACAACGCGACGGGTTATGTACTTTCTGATCGCTCTCAGAAAAAATTTCAGGTACAAGATTCTGAACTGGGAAAATATCAGAGAAGTGATGGTTCATTAGGTTTTTGGGATGGTGCTTTCAATTTTGATGATTCCGTGAGTATGATCCACAATTTTGAGATGCTTGTGTTTGAAAATTTGCCTGATTTCGATGGAACAATTCCTAATGTTTGGTTATCAAAAGCGGAGAGGTTCTTCAGCTTGGGGAATTATGGAGACAAAGATAGAGTCAAACTTGTATACTTATACTTAAAAGGTGCGGCATTGAAATGGTACGCACGAATGATGCGTAGCCAAAGGTTCAAAGATTGGGATGAGTTTAAGCAACAACTACTGGATCGATTTGGTACTGTTGAGAGCTGTTCTACCGTAGAAGTGAATGGGAAATCTGAATCAGCTTCGCTCAATGCAGCTACTTGTGAGACACAAATGGTGAAGAAGTTAGCATCACCAATTGTGCAAGAAGTTTCTGGTGACTGTTCTGTCCATAATTTTTTTCATCAGCTGCAATACTTAAGCAAGATTCAGTTTATGAGAATGACCAAGCGACTAATTTTCATTGTGAGAGGGGTCTGGTTCCAGGCTGTTCTGCCATAGTAGTGCATCTAACATCAGAATCGACTTTAAGAATGGAAGTTGTTCTTGATACAGCACTGGTGCAAACGACAGCAACATAAAACTGGGGCAGAAGTTTCTGTGGACGGTGGTGACTGTCAGGTCCTTGGTTGCTTGTCACCAGAATTAATGCTCACGCAAGATTCATTTGATCATGCTGTTCAAGAACCAAAAGTATTGCTCCTGAATGACTCATTTCATGTGATTGATCAAAAGGCTGTTATGAGCTGTGAAATTGCAGTCCATGAGTGTGTGGTGAAGGCCGATTCATTTTTGGTAAGTGTTACAAGTTCTTTTCCGGTGAAAGGGAAACGAGATGAATTGATTTCATGTAAGGAATATGTTCATGAGGCAGGAGTTGTGCAAGAGATGAATTCAACAAGTAAAGAAGAAACCAAGGAGATATATGTACCTAAAGTTGCAGAGCCAAGCTCTCTTGCCAGTCTGATTCCTTCTAAGGCGAGTAAGATACAGCAGAGGAAGTATGTAAAAATCTGGAAATTCAAGTTCAAAAACATGAATCTGCAGGAATGGTACAATACTATGCACTGGAGGAAGATGAGACAGCCTTATATACCAAGGGTGATTTCTACTGCTACTGATAGAGAGTTTACTGGTGGTTCTGCATTACGTGATTGGCAGGAACGTTTCAACCATGAGAACATCTTTCGGAATGGTTTTAGCATGAGGCTTGAGACGAGGTTGCATCGGTTTGTATATGCGCTCTTGGAATGTTATTCAACTTACGACGGTGAGTAATGAGCTCAAGAATCAGAACATATTGATGTATCAATAATGGGTAACTGCTAGACAATTAAAAACAGTGGTGTAGAAGTTTAATGACCTCGCTGGGAACACTATTATTTTCTCAGGTTATTCAGTTGTTGCTGATGGTATGAAAACAAGAGAGATTATTTACAAGATGAATTGGTGCAGAAGACTGTCGAGGTTTTGAGAAAGCAAGACATGTCATGGATTTATAAAAGTTTTTTGAAGTATGAAGCACGAAGCTTGATACAAGTTCTTCTTGGTGATGTCAATTTTCATCTGAAGCACAAATGGCCATTTATATCATTTTCGGCATTGGCGTGTGTGTTGGAGCATGTGGTTGCAGCGATATTGTCTGCAGTATCTGAGGTTAACAAAGAGATCACGTCAATGAGGGATCACAATCATTTCAATGTGTTGCTGGAACAAAGAGGAGTTGAGTGGTTGTGGGTTTGCTCTAATTTCTCAAGGGCTGTGGCAGATACAAGACCAGAATGGCAGAGATATTTTATCATTTTCTTCGGCTCAAGCTTGAGGGAAAGCTTGATTTCAAGGGTGGTAGTATATGAAGGCATACGTATCTGCTTATGGATGGTGGCTGTTTTGATTTGGAGATATGCTGGAGAAGAAAAGAAGGAATCTGAGCTGTTGATACAAGAGATGTTCAGAGTTTCATCATTTGTGAATCGGTTGTTATCTCACGACAACGGTTTGTTATTAATGCAGCACAAGGGTGGTCTGCTACGAGTGCGAGTACAACAAAGTCATAAGAAGAAAATGTCTTTCAACACGTATATGTTTAAGTACAAACAACAGCTCAGCAAGATAAGTGTTTGGACAGAAGTTTTTACAACCTAATGTACAAAGAGCTTATATGTTTGATCGAATTGGAGATAATGTTAAGGTGCAAAGCCGTGATGGTGGAGGATTGTGGAGTGGCTTGTCTGTTCACAAGGGGAGCAAAGTGATGCAACAAAAGCGGAGAAGGAAAATTCCTAAGTCTTGGATGTTCAAGTACAAAGATAATGTGGAGAGTTCAGCTGCTACATGGGCCATTTGCAGAAGCAACAAGACCTTCAAGAATGCAGTATTGATAAGCTTTATCATGATCTTGGACACCAGAAGTTTAATTTTTTCTTCCAAGCTTGTGGACAAGCTTGTCGTTATGGGGAAAGTATTGATAGACTTTTATCATTTGAGGCTGACGTGGATAAGTAAAAAATGGTGGATAAGACTTTGACTGAATGAGAAGCTTTGAAGACTCTGATGGATTTGGAAGCTTTGTAGTTACAGTTCACCTTTGAAGTTACGGTTCACGAGAATGAAAAAAACAACCTATTAATAAAGAGCTTAATTAAAAAAGAGACTTATGCTTTGAATGTTGTAAGTGAGTGACGCCATGAGTCCTTGCACCTGATCGCCATAAGATCAGTGATGAAGATTATACTCGCCATGAGAGTGTAATTGGATTCAAACCTCAAAGCTATTTGTTTATCATCTTTGTAATCACGTTTTTATTCAATAAAGAAGTTCGGGATTTGTAAAATCTATCACAAACAGGTAACTTTCGATTGCATTGGAGAGAGAGAGAGTCTGAAGACTTCTTGTTGTTGTCATCGTCAGTCACCACTGTGGTAAATCTTCTTTGATATCCAATACATGAACAGTTCCCTCTCCAACACCTCTACAGCTGGCTTCTGTAACGGTCACAGTCTCGTCATTTCTAGGTTCATTCGTCAATCAGATTATGTTTTATAAATTAAAAATATTTAAAAAGAAAAGACCATTTAATTAGGATAAGAAGCTTTAATGTCGGTGAATGTCAATTTTTCCAAAAAAAGATTGAAACGAAATTGCCATTCCGTCATGGGGTGGGTGAAGCGAAGCGGATCCGATTCTTTATCGTACCCGATTTGCTTTGCAGTTAGCTTTCAACTAAATTGAGCACCAAAACAGTTAAACCGAAAGATAATTCTCCTAAAGAACAGTATTGTAGACAAGACTGGCGAAATGTATACAGTAAGAAACATATAGAGAGAGAGAGATTCACATATGATAATTTTGTAACACTACACGATTGAAAATATTGTATGCAACCCAATGAAAAATGAGCCAATAATTCGTTAGAATATGTAATAATCCAATGAACTCAAAGAAACGTTTTGCTTGATCAGCATTCACACCCTGTTGATCTGTGTTGCTGACCTCCAGCAACATCGATGGTGTCGGGTAGGTACCTAGAGGAAAATAAGGAGACAAGACTTAGAATCAACATGAAGCTATGCAAATTTTAACAGATAATAGATATAAATATAGTTACGGTTCTTCTTCAGGTTCATTCTTGAAGGCATTCTTGGTGATGCATTCGAAAGCTGCATCTACGTTGAATCCTTCTTTGGCTGATGTCTCAAAGTAAGGAATGTTTCCTTTCGACGCACACCATGCCTTTGCTTTCTTCTCCGAAACCTGACAATGTAAGGGATGACTTTAAGCATAAATTCTAGAAACCAACGGGTAAACAAACACAAATGTTTTCACTCACCACTCGGCTTTTGCCACCATCAACATCGGTCTTGTTCCCCAACACGACAAACGGGAAGTTCTCAGGATCTGATGGACCAGCCTATACAACGACACCATGAACAAAGAAGATGAAATCATAATAGCAAGAAAATATTATCAAAAGGGTATTTTACCTGGATCAAGAACTCTTCCCTCCAGTTATTAAGATTCTCAAAAGATTTCATAACATTGACATCGTAGACAAGGACACAACAGTCAGCTCCTCTGTAGAAAGCTACTCCCAAGCTTTGGAACCTTTCTTGCCCAGCAGTATCCCAAATCTGTATCATGGATTTGATAGATTTAAACACACAAAAACATATCTATTTGTAGTAAGTATAGACCACAAAACACTGTATTTTCCTAAGAAACACACTGTAGGTGAATCAAATTGTAACAAATATTTGAACCTTTTTCTATATTATAAAAGAAACTCATAAAAAGTCCCAACAAGCTATGTGCATGATAAGAATATTCAAAGTAGGGTCACAAATGCAAACTACATAATAAGCAATCATAGTTAGAATGTTGATGATTTAGACACATGAGACATCCCTTTTGTGCTAGTAATATAATCTTACAATATCATTATAGACAACAAAACATTGTGATTTCTAACGAGAAACATAGTAGAATGAATCAAATTGTTACTCAACTCAATAGTTGAGACATGAAGTAAGGAGCATACTAAGATCCAACAGGAATATTCCAAGAAGAATCAGAAACAAAATCGATATATAATAATAATAATGTTTGATGATTCATATTATAAAAAAAATTACCTGTAAAGTGAAGATCCGGTCATCAATTTGAACCTCTTTAGTCAAGAAATCAGCTCCAATCGTCGCTTTATACTGATTACTAAATTTGCGATTCACAAACCTAATCATACCATCCAATTGAATCACAATCGAATCTCATATTTAAACATGATGTTATAGATCTGTGTTTTAGAAACGTACTGATTCATCAACGATGTCTTCCCAACCCTGTACAAAACAAAGGATTCAAAATATCTTTTAATCAATGGACAAAATAAAATCACATCAAATGGAAGAGGAAGAGGAAATGACCCGCTGTCTCCGAGGATGATAACCTTCAGAAGCACTCTCCGGCGAGATGACATTATTGACGGTAAGGGATGATGAGCTTATTTGTGTTTGTTTTTTTTAATGTTTCCGGCGAAGAAAGCGTCTCCCTCTCACAGTTTCCTTCTTTCTCTCTAGTACCAAAGAGGAAAATGTATTTTCGCTTATAATTATAAACAGCGAGGAAACGACGACACTTCGATTCCTCATCATTACTCTTCCTTTATTATAACCTCCGCGCAAGCGCGGGGCCGGAATCTGTGTTTTTTTCGGTTTTGGTTTACGCGGGGCCGGGATCTGTGTTTTTTTCGGTTGTTGGTTTAGTGGATTATTCTAATAATACCAAACAATGATGAAATGGAAAGAATGTAGCAAGAGTGCAAAGTGAAAATATTGTATATATAATGTGTTAAATGTTATTTATATGCGAAATAAGGTTTATAGGAATAACTAAATTATAATATAGTTTTTAGTATATAAAAATAGATGTCTATATTGTTTTTTCTGTTGGAAATAGTTTTTATATCGGATGTCAAAACTTGATATAAATATTTATTTATAGTATTTATATTTGTACTAAACGATTTATCAATTTGAAAATAACTGTAATTTAAGCTAATATTTGTTGTTTGGCTTTCAATATATAGGTTTGGATATGTTTTTTTGTAAGTTTGGAATTTTTTCATGAATAATGTGGTATTTTTATTTACGGCGTTATCGACTGTGGAAATCCATCCGTCGGAGTCTGATAAAAATGAAATTATGTAACTATTAAAAATTGAAGAGAAATTACATAGTTATTTTATAAATAACAAAACTATTTTTTTTATTTTTTTCACATACATAATTTTTTGAAAATATATATTAGGAAATATGTTCTAACAGTAAAAATCTATATTAAGACATGATAGTGCCGCATGAGACTCGTTTTTTTTTTCTTTTTTTTTGGTTGATCGTTTATTGATCCATTTTTAATTTTTTTTTTGTTTGGGTTCGTCAAACTTTAAGATTTTTCCACTATTTTGAGCTTTAAACAATAAGTCCAGAGGAAAAAACCTTAAAACATTAAAACTAAAAAGCCTAAACGAAAAAACTAAAATACATAACAGCTGCGTGGTTTGAACCCACACACTTGCAGACTTAATTAGATGTCTTATACCACTTTGCTAAAGTGTATTCATTGTTCATAGTCATTTTAAAAACACTATAAGCTTTTAAAGTTTAAACACGCGGGACACACAAACTTGTTGACGTGGATAGCTTTAGGAGCCTTAGAAGTGAACTATTATAATATAGATTAATATTAAGACTTGAATTTTTTTTTTGTCGACATTATATTACCACTTGTAAATCATATGAAAAAAACCTTCAATCGGTATAATAGCTCCGATTACTTTATTACTTTCTTTCTATGTTTAAGACGTTGTTGAGTACCATAGACATTTTCTTTAATGTAGCATATATGCGGATTTATGGAAGGAGGTAGATTAATCTCTAAAAAGAAGGAGTATTCTACGGATAGATCTTCTCTTCGGATATGTAAATATAATCTATTAAAAAGAGAGTACAATTTTAAAATAACAATAATCTTAACAATAATCTTTCCTAAAGAATTACAAGTAAATGCCACTCTTTTTTTATTTTTAATTAAAGAGGGCAAACATGTTATCCTGTCCCGGATTGTAGCGGGATTTTCTTTAAGCGGGTTACACCGGGTCAGGTCCCTGCGGGCTCGGTCTCCATAATGACTGTCCAATCCCGTCCCGCTAAATGTACAGCCTTTACGGGTCGCTCCGCGGGACATATGTTAATACATGCAGTACTGAAGCTACTTCAAGACGCTTTATGCCACTCTGGAATATGATTCAAGTCTTCGATTCAACTCGACATAATTATTCAGTCATTGATTTACTTATTGTTTTTATTCAAAACAATTGTTGTATTTACTTTTTTCACACCCAAAACATATTAACATGCCAAGTAAAAATAATTGCATAAGATATTTTCATTAGCTTATAACTTATAAGTTTATAACCAACGTTTTAGTTTGTTGAATCCAAAAATTAAACAAAATCAAACAACAAATCAAAGCTGACAATCCCAAATTAAATAAAAAAAGAAAACCATATCAAAATATCGCCTGAGCTCGAATCGTCATCGCTGGGGCAGGAGTTATCATCGCTTGAGCTCTAATCATTTTCACCGAAGCTGGAATCATCATCACCAGAGCTTCTTACATTTTCTCAGAAGAAGTCACATGAATCATCTTCTTCTCACTATTTCTCTCGTTTTTTCAGGTAAAATAAGAAATGAAGAAAGAAAAAATGTGGGTCCTTGTGATCCCGCATGACCCGCTTCGGTCCATGCCGCAAAAGACCTAGTCCCGCAAAGACACATCCTACAAAGTCCGCAAATTTGCAGGGCTAAAAAACCTTTGTACCATTCCCGTTCCGCAATAGTTCGTTACAAGTTAGGTCTGTGGTCCAGGTCCATGATTACCATCTATACTTTTTAACCATAAATAATTTTAATTAATGAATACATAATAAATATTATTTCCTTAAAAATCATATCTGTTATACTAGATTACCTAATATTTAGCTAACATAAAAATATTGGAAGCATTCATTTCCTAAACAAAAATAAATCATAAAAGCAAAAATCGGTGACAAAGTTTTGTTGTATAATATATTTTCCAAGATATTGTGTTTTTGGTAAATAGTACTTATTTTAATTTTGAGGTATTTTCTGATTTTTATACCATGAGTCGGTTTGAAATGTATGGTTTCCAATATATTGATTCGAATATGAATTAAAAATGTTAAATGTTTATCAAAAGATCTAGAAGTGTTTATTTAATATTGTCATTCAACCAAAATATATACAGACATGTCATTATTAACAAATTTACAAAATTTATTATTAATCCCTTTATTTCCAAATCATATGGAATTTGGAGATGAAAGAAAATGGAGACATGGCAAATACGAACAAATATTTAAATACAAAATTATGATAATATTTCATCTATGGTTTTGGTATTAATGATTTTTATCTAATTTTTTTTAACTGAGTAGTTTAATATGTAAACATAGCAAATGAATTTTGGAAGTAAATTTAGAAAACGTAGTCTCAGTAACAAACAAAGGCATATATATCGTAAGATAAGAAATTTTAATGCGTTATTGATCAATAAATATCCAATTTTTATTTTTGAAATTAACAAGAGGACGACAAACCAGAAAAGATTAGGTTGTACAACTAATATTTGATACCTATGCGAAGAAAAATATATAACATCTACACAGGTATGCGGGTCAAACTCTCGTGGACCTTAAAGCATAAATCTATATCTGTGTAGTGTCCAAAAATATCATAAAGTAATTCTTTTCAGCAGGATTTGAACTCACAATATGGATGCAAGAAGGAGTCTGTCCTTACCATTGGACAATGATGTTTGAATTTTTTACATCCATAGACACATTATGAGTTTCTATTTACATCTCAAGTCATATTCAACATGTGACACACATATTCTATGTGTTTTGTCTATTGTACCCTTGTATTAAATCAATTATAACTTCTTTTGTTTTCAAACCAAACGAAGATGTATATATTATTCTTTTTAGAAATTCTTCGTTCTCTCTCCTACTTTGAATCAAAACAACTTTCCTAAATACATGAAATCTAATTTTTTTAGTTTTTTTTATTTATTCTAGTTTTATTAAAGACAACAAAAGATAGATTCTCTCTTAATTTTTCTCGTTCTTTTCTAAATTGAAGAACCCTAATTTTTCTGATTATTTTCTTCATGTCATTGTTCCGCCTCTTTGCCATCCACGACCACCGATGACGGGTTCTCCTCCATCATTGTTGAGAGAAGAAAGAAACAGAGAGATGTTAGAGCTAGAGTTTGAGTTCTTGCCAATAACTGATTACCACAAGAGATTGTGTTCTGAGGCTGGGAGCCACATATTAAAAATCAAGCTCTGGACTAGAGAACCCTTTTTCCTGTTCTAAAGTTTCAATTTGAAAATCCTCATCTCCTTTTGTTAAGAGATGTCTGGCTGGTTTTTTGTGAGGTGATTGATGGCGATGAGGGAGTGGGTGATAGCTACGGAGGATGAGCTTCTCGCTAAGATCAGAGTCTCCCCTGTCACCACCATGTGGAGCCTCTTGAGCTGCTATTCAGATTCATCAATGTTGCTTTCAATCACTGTGGCTCTCTTCTCCCCAGTAAAATTATCTCCTTTTTAACATATTGCTTCTTCTCATTACCTTGCAATTTTTGTTAGTTTAAGCTAATTTTATATTTATATTTAATGTAATGATAGCTGATGTGCAGATGGGTATGTGATCTGGGATTTCAAAATTAAGGGTATTGCAAAAAAGCTTTGTGATGAGTGTACTACTGCAATTACTAGTGTCTTATGGTCAAAGTGGATGGCTAATAATGAGTATAAGCATGAGGAGCTTCCTCCTTCACAAGGAGATACATATACTGATTTTATGTCAAGTCATGATCCAGCTCCAAATAATCTACAAGGTGATGGTAGTAGCGGTGATGTTTAATTTCTTTGTTATGTCTGAGGTAAAGTTTGATACTTTTTGATTATTTTGATTATATTTCGAGTTGTGTAAGTGAGATTTCTCTATGTTTTATAAGCAAATAAGGGCTTGGAAGATGGTCTCTTGTTGTTGCATCTGCTACCAATATTCAGACATGAACCATGACTTCACTTCCAAGGTATTACTTTTATTACTCTGTTCTATTATATGCTTGATTGACCCATGTTTTATCCAATAACAATTGAAACCTACATTAGATTTGAAGTTAAGTTGGTAGCTTCCATGTTTGGTATCTAATTGTCGTTATACAAGAGTTAGGGACAGCTACGGATCTTTACTATCCTGCTCAACTCCACATATATATCCTCCATGTCCTCCTGTCCATTCCTTTGCCGAAGGCATCCACGTACACACACATCTTTTGTCCACAGCTCGTCCATCCCCAAATTTCCAGTCCACACTTCCCTTGTCCACACCTCCTTTGTCCACACACATAGACTAGGAACAATTTCATATGTATATGTTTTGTTGTATCAGGAACTACTTCATCAGTGTTAAATTGTTTT